TTAACTTCTTTAACGTGCAAATATCTAAATACTTACAAGTATATGAATTAAAGAATATATTACTTATGGGACGTTAATTAAATTATTCATCAAATTACAAACTCTACTTGGTATCGATTCAATTTTGATTTTATATATATATATATGATTTAAAAAGTTATACTAAAATTTAAATGGGTTGTTTTTATAATTTTTACGAGAATTTAAATATTTTCTTAATAAATATGGAGCTTAGTATGGAAAGTAATGAAAAATACATATTAATAATCCTCATTGTTTTATACTTCTCGGTAATATATTGCATGACATAATTAAATTTAGTATGATTTAAGTACTAAATAAACGGTAATTATTAAAATTGTCCATGCAATTTAAATGGTGTGTGACCATTGACATGAGAAAAATAAAATAAAATAAAATAAAGAAAAGAAAAGAAAGGAAAAGAGGTTGAGTGAAGTTTTCAAAGAAAGTTTGAGGAAGATAAGGAGGAAAAAGTGAAGGTGACATAGCTGATATTTATATTTTCTTTTAAAACTTCCATTTTTAAATATTTCTAAACTATTTTACACTAAAAAATCGTTAATAATTTAATATATATTCTTTTAAAAAATGGAATGGAGACGGAGAAAAGGTTAAAAATAGGTGTGTTTATTAACGCCGTTAAGGGTTAAAAGGGAGGAGGAGGAGGAGGGAGAAACGGACGGAGACGGGGAGACGGTTAGAGAGAGAGAGAGAGAGAGTGGAGAATTGTGGCGAGGCGTGGGACGTGGAGCCTGGTCAAATGCCCTCTTGACTTTTTCCTCTGTTTTGTATTTTTTATTTTAAATTACATTCCAATTCTAACCCCTGACTGAGATTCTCCATCCGGCGCGCCTTTACCTCTCTATTCGACTCGGCTCGGCTGACTATTGTAATAGTGTAATAATAATATTAATATTTGTAAAAGGAGCTTCACGGCTACCAAGCGTCCAAGCCAGGGGTATAATGGTAAAAGTAAAGGGCAATTCCGGAAAACAACCCTCTCCGGTCACCCGTACAAGGCGTCGCCTAAAACCTCGGTTCCAAATATATAAAAATAAAAATAAATAACAAACCGTAACTTCATCATTCCCTTCTCATTTTCAAATCCCTTTTCTTCTTCTTCTTCCTCTCTAAAATCTCTGCAACTATGCCGGCAACGGAACAGCCCAGCTCCTTCCTTGGCCGTATCAGCACCCGCCGAAACCAAGTCATCTCCATGGACGGTGCTCACGAGCAGGAGCTCGAGGATCTCGAGCTCTTTCAGAAGCAAGTTTCCGAGCGATTTTTCGAATTAGTACCTCCGTCCTCCTCCGACGACATTTCTTCCGAAACTTTCCTCTCCATCGCCTGGCTCAGGAAGCTCCTTGACGAATTCCTCTGCTGCGAGGCTCAATTTAAGGCTCTCCTCATCATGGGCCGCGATCCCTCTCAGATTGTCAAGCCGCCGCTTGACCGTCTCGTCCCCGAGTTTCTAGATCGCGTCGTCAAGGCTTTGGATATCTGTAATGCCGTTCTCCACGGGATTGAATCGGTTCGCCAGTTTCAAAAACTCGCCCAAATCGCGATTTCAGCTCTGGAGCAGAGTCCGATAGGAGACGGACAAGTGAAACGAGCACGTAGGGCTTTGAATACCTTGATTACGTCCATGGCCGTTGAGGATAAGGATTTCTCCAACAGTAAATCCGCAGAGAGATCTTGGTCTTTCGGGCGTCGTGGAGGTGCCGGTGCCGGTTCCGGCACCGCCACTCCGCTGCATAAGGACCGAATCGCAGGACAGTTTCGTTCGCTGTCTTGGAGTATGGCGAAAGGTTGGTCAGCGGCGAAGCAGATTCAAGCTATGTCGTCTAATCTGGTTGTACCACGCGGCGGCGAGTCATCGAGTTTACCGCAGACGGTTTACTTGATGAGTACGGTTTTGGTGTTCGTAATGTGGACTCTGGTTGCGGCGCTGCCGTGCCAGGAGAGAGGCGGCCTGACGACGTACTTTCCGGTGTCGAAGCAGATTAGCTGGGCACAATCCATGATCGGACTGCAGGAGAAAATCGCGGACGAGTGGAAGAAGAAAGAGAAGAAAGGAAGCGCTGGTCTGTTAGAAGAGATGCAGAGGATGGAGAAACTGAGTCAATCACTGATCGAATTCACTGATTCATTCGCGTTCCCGTTGGAGGCGGAGCGGCAGGCGGAGGTGACAAAACAGGTGGCGGAGCTGGCGGAAACCTGCAAGAAACTGGAAGAAGGATTGGTGCCATTACAGCAACAAATCAGAGAAGTTTTCCATAGGGTTGTGAGAAGCAGAACAGAGATTGTTGAGCTTTTGGAGTACACTGCGAAGGCATCTTCCCCAATTGTGTGAAACAAAACTGAAGAAGAGGAAGCCATTAACACGCCATGATCACTACTGGTAAAGGATCTTCTAAACAGCAACCAGTCCCATGGTGGCTCCCATGTAGATTTTGTAAGACTTTTGATTTATTTATTTATTTATTTATTTTTGCTCTTACGGTTTTAATTTCTTGCTGGGTGTTAGAAAATATTTAATGTTAATCTGCAGATGTAATGGTGATGAATTTATATGGTTTATTAATGAAATTGAAATATCTAATTTCTGGGATTGTTATATGACATGAATGCAACAACATGGTGAGCATGTTTAAGTTATGATTTACTTTACTTTTAATTATTGGATTGGGCTACGTCATATCACCAACATTAATGCTATGAATATGAGAGTTTTAATTCGAGTAAGGCCCAAACTCTAATGCATTACAAAAGTGGCCCAACTATACCTATTATCCAAAACATCCACATTTATTCCGCGAGAGATCGATTAGAGGGTGAGACCTCGTGCTGCTCCCGAACTCCCGAATCATGAAGTTAAAATGGAGTAACATAGAGAAACTGAACTGTATCAAGATCTAAAATGGAGTAACATATGGAGTAACATAGAGAAACTGAACTGTAGGTCGGTTGCAACTAGTACAGTGTTTGCGAAGATTTGATAATGTTGAGCTAGGCATGTAGTCAGCAGAGTTGGCACCTACAGAGGGTAGCTCCCTCGACCTTGGTCAACTCTATGGCTTGTGGGATGCATTCGGGTAGCTCCCTCGACCTTGGTCAACTCTATGGCTTGTGGGATGCGTTCGGGTAGCTCCCTCGACCTTGGTCAACTCTATGGCTTGTGGGATGCGTTCGGGTAGCTCCCTCGACCTTGGTCAACTCTATGGCTTGTGGGATGCGTTCATCAACTACCTCCATGAATGACGAGTAGGCTAGCACCATGTTGTCCATACCTGCTAATGAAAGTGTTTTTTGAGATAGCACTTCAATCTCATACACCAGTTACCAATATGTAGGCTAACTAGCTAGTTACCTAAGAAAATCTACAAGCAGGTCGCTTTCTACATTTCCTTTTTCGGTGCATGGCGATGCTGGTTGAGGGAGGGGTGCATGGAAACTCAATAGTCACATAAGAAAGTCAACCTGAAGTGTTTGTCTTGTCACATATTTTGTTGTCATCATTTCCGTATACATCATGTATCTCATTCTCTATGCCCTCTTTAAATGACCAAACATACATATATACATGTTTTTTGTTTTATCTTGGTCGTGTAAATAATGTTCGTAAAATTTTAAATTTGTGCGAAATTTTATAGTTTTTTTTCATTGTCTTCTCATTCTTTTAAAATGGCATATTCTATAAATCACATTCGATCTTTCGACGCCTCGAAATTCAAAGTGATAATACCTAATTTGAATTTGAAAGCTTTAAACTTAAAAGTCATTGAGCTTGATGTTTGTAATTTGTCAACTTTAAGCAAAATTGTCCTCTAATTGACCTTTTGAGTTAATTTAATCTTCAAAACAATTACTATACGACCAAATCTGGCCGGTTAGACTTACTCGATAAAATAATAAGACTTACGACATTATTTGAGATTTGCCATTTTTATTTCTTTAAATTTTGCTCGAGACCCACATGTCGATTTGTAATCCGTTCAAAATTTAATAATATGTTGTTTTATCATTAATTGAAGAATAACGATGTGACAATTTGTGATCGAACAAAATAAAATTAATTTAATCAACTATTCCGTCCTACAACTTAATTAACTAAAAACTAAATTAAATAATTGCCTCAGAAATCTAAATTCATTGATCCCCTCTTTTTTCTTGAACTAATATTTTCTTAAAAATGTAGATCAATGTTTGATTTTCTTGTATTTAGTTTATTTGGTCTCCATCTATCCCTAATTTATTTTGACATATATTCATTAGATTTCTTGAAAGTAATCAACATTTATTAAGAGAGACCAATTATCAAGGTCTTTGTTTTAAGTTTTAAACGTTTTTCTTTGAAATTGACTTGCCAACTAATATCATAAACTATCTATTATTTTCGCCTAATTGGCTTTAGAGTACTCATCTTTGTTTTGGTTTAATACTCATAATCAAACCCCAACCCAATTTCCTTTGACCCATAAACTAACCTATACCGCACAAGTGTTTTCTATATTTTTTCGATGATTATGATATTGCCTAATTTAAGCTCAAACTCGTACTTCAGGGTTGGACGCGCAAATTCGACATCTTAAACCCGAGTTTTTAAATACACGGTATATGACGAGTTCGAACAGTGAATTATTTAGGCTCAGTTTCTCCATAAAAAGGTTAATCTAATTAATTAGAAAAACAGTTCTACCATAATCTCAACTTGTTCGTACTATTGAAAAAGTCTTCTTACAAATAAAAATCTATCTATTGTTCGAGTGACGTAAGACCATGTTTGCATCTCTACGTCCAAAAGCTAACGGTTTAAATTGCGCCATCGAAACGACCTATAAATGTTTGAAAATAGAAACAAAGTCAATAGGAGGTTTATTTTAATATTCAAGTTGGGAGGTGGGAGGTTTCTTGTTCTTGAACACAACTACAAAACTTGGACTGTTAGCATCTTGATGAACCAATCCCAATCTCTTTATAAACTGACAAATCTATGAGATTGTGTAGTGGGAAAAGCCTCCTTATGATCTTAGCTTCTTCTGTTCTTGCTCTATTCTCACTCAAGTTCTTCACAATCCTGAACTAAACATGAAGGTGATTCATAAATTTTTGTATGTTTTTATTGGGATTTTTGGGTCATTTTCAAGAACCCTAAACAGTTTGTAGTTAGAACAGCAGATAATAATGGTATAATAATTGGTTTGTTCTTATATTTTGATGCAGAAAATAGTGGTGAGAGTGGATGTACCTGATGAAAGAGCAAAGCAGAAGGCTATGAAAGCAGTTTCCTGCCTTTCAGGTACTAAATTTCATCCTCCTCAAACTAATTATAAATTATTAAAAAAAAAAAACAAAAAAACTATTAAAATATTATAACTGTCCTATACCGCTAATAAACATTGTCCTTTTTAATTTTTCGGGCTTTCCCTCGAAGGATCTCACAATCCACCTCCCTTCGGAACCCAGTGTTCTCGTTGACACTAGTTCCTTTCTCCTATCAATGTAGGACCGCCCAATCCACCCTTTTCGAAGCCCAACGTCTTTACTGGCACACTGCCTTGTGTCCACTCCCGGTGTTTGATTCTGATACTATTTGTAACCGGCTAAGCCCGCTGCTAACGGATATTGTTCTCTTTAGACTTTCACTCAAGATTTTTTTTCAGGCGTTCATGAAAAATGTTTGTTTCTGGTCTGTAACGAGGTGTAATAATAAGTTTGTGGGTGATGTTGGGGATGCAGGGATAAACTCGATAACCATGGAGATGAAGGACAGGAAGATGATAGTGGTGGGGACAGTAGACCCAGTGGAAGTAGTGGAGAAGCTGAGAAAGCTTTGGTTTGCAGAGATTCTCACAGTTGGACCTCCAAAAGAGGAAAACAAAAAACCACCAATTACTTGCATTGGGTATCCCTGTTATTGTTGTAACCAGCCCCCAACCTTCTATTACAAGCAAGACGAAATCCCAAATGGTTGTGTTCTCTGTTGAAACCATCATTCTTTGTTAAATAAGGTTTACCTTGTGTGCTGCTTCAATTTTCTTGTTCATTTGTTTGTGTTTTGGTTTTTTTTGTGAATTTTCACGATGTTTTTTTTTTTTTTTTTATGGGTATAATGATGAATTTATCATTTCTTGTTCTTGTGTAGAAATATTTCACTTATAAAAGGTCTATCATACTATTTTTCGTTATCAAATTTCTCGTAGTACCAAGTGGTGCTTAAGTTTATATGGTTGACGATGACGGTGACTGTGTACTCGAGTTGATAACCTATGAAGCATGGGATAGAACTCTTTTGATTTTTGTTTAAAAAAAGGTTGAATCACGATCACACGGACCTATGTGCTCGACATGGGGCCAACCAGGGAACTTGGGCTTCGATCCACGTTTTCTTTCTCTCTTTTGTTTAGTGGACCCACTCCTTTCATGCTTTGGTTCGTTTTAATTCGTGTTGGATTTTTTTCTTATTTAGTTCTTGATTTTTTTTGTATTTTAGGTTTGTTATGGTCTAATTTTACTCATAATATCTAAATTTAAATTTGATTAGAAAAAAAAACAAGCCACTTACGAGAATATATTTGTGTGAGATCCCACACATGAAAACGGAATATTACTTATAGGAGGTGTGGAAACCTCTCTCTAGTATACGCATTTTAAAATCGTGAAGTTGACGATGATACATAACACGCAATGGATTGTTACGGTTCGTGTGTTTAATTATCATTTTTATTTTTGTCCACAATTATTGCACTTAAAAAGAAAAAAAAAACAATACCATCTTTTTCTTATTATATTATTTGAGTATATTATTTGAAGAGATAAGAATATGTTAATTAATTGGTTAAGTTAGATAGACTATGCTAATCAAAAGTTAACAATCATTTTCTTAAAATATAATATTGAAAATTGAGTTGAATCGAGGCTGGGTTGTTTTAAGTTGGTAAAACTAATATAAATAATTATATGAATAAAAAAATATAATATCATGAAAACAACTGCTTAACGTTTCTATTTAATAATAATAAGAAAAGGTTAAAGTTTCTCTCATTTAAGTTAACAAATGATTTATTATTAAGACATGCTAATTAATTTTTTGATGTTAAAGATTTGATCTTATAATTTTAAAGACAAATGCATAATGTTTTAACCATTATTATTTTTCTTAAATTTGTTTGATTAATATTCAAGTTGGCAGTTTAATTTAATGACCATGACATAAAATAAAAACATATTTACTATTTTCTTTTAAAAAATTGATATATTTGTAATGGTTATTTAATTATATATTTACATTTTTTTTTCTTTTTCTAAAAAATTCAAATTTACAAATGTTTTATAATAAAAAGCTGCGTTGGGGAATCAAAGTCTCCAAAGAATTGGGCTGAGAAAGAACAAAAACAATTGAGAATTTCAAGTTTTATTTAATAATAACTCAAATCTATTGGAAAATTTTAAAAATGATATGTTTTTGTTTTACAAATTAGAGCTAAGATTATGGAAATAATATAATAGAAAAGACTCATATGGTTGTCACTTGCGTCCACTAAGTTAGCGGCTTCAATTGGAAAAAGTGATGGCGTCGTGTTGTAACGGCTCAAGGTCATTGCTATACTAGATATTGTTTTCTTTAGGTTCTTCCTTTCGAAACTTTCCCTCAAGATTTTTAAAATGCGTTTGTTGAAGAACCCTTATAAAAAAAAATGTTTCGTTTTCTTCTCCAACCAATGTGAAATTTTACACGTCGACTCATTCATTTAACTTTAATCCATTGTCCAGATCATAGATAGAAGGCTCATCCATATCAATGAACAAAGATTATACTAAGTTTTGTTTATCTCAATTATGGTCCTAAAAATTCTCAAACTTTATAATAAAATTAATATGAAACGTCCTACACATTTATTACTCAACAAAACCAAATCAAATTCAAATTCTATTACAATAAAAACTCTTTGACCAATTAAACTCTTGGAAATTAAACCACTATTTTCAGTCATGATAAGAACAAATAAAAAAAAATGGGTTATTTCAGTCATGGTAGACCAAAAAGCTTGGTCCCCCGACCTTATCATAAAAAAATAAAACCAGAAATATATATAATTTATTTATATTATAAAGTATTACTTATGTCACGAATTGCATTATTTAATACTTTAATTTCCAGAATGCGTAGGTGGCTATGTTTCTGATTGGTCTTGTCCAATGATGTCCTGTCATTGTTTTAATATTTTCTATTTCATTAACCTAATTAAAATAAATAGCTTAAATAATTGATGTCACATATCACATCACACTCTCAAAATATAGCCCACCCATTCTTACCCTATCTTTTTTTTCTTTCATTTCCACCCCCCAAAGTTTCATTTATTTCTATTCTGACCCCACTTTGATTTTCTTATGGACTTATAACTAATATATATATAGTTATAAATATTTGACTTATTATATAAGTTGGACCCAATGAGATTTGGTATTAAAGGACCATATCATCTATTTTGTTTTTTATTCTTCCTCCTCATTGGAAGTATGATTAAATGTATTTCATAGCTAAAAAAACGAGAAGAATAGAGTCTAAAAGTGCTTACTTGTAAAAATAAAAATTTATCAAATATAATATATAAAATTGAAATCTCCTAAGAAACGACATCGATATCGACCTTGCCAAAGGAAGTAACGTGGAGGGCAAAGAATAATGAAGAAGGAAGCAAGTTGTGTGAATTATTGCATAAGGAAAGCTTCTTTGGAATGAAAAGACAGTGCATAGAACACTAGGGGACATAGTAAGGAACATCACAACCACCACCTTAATAAATCAAATGAGTTCGAGTTATTTGATGTAATGTAGGCATGGTCATGTCCCAACAAAATAGACGAGAGTAAAGCTTACTCAAACAATAACTATTATTGAAGCAAACAATTCAAGGCAATCTTGTTGCTATTCATTTGTAAGATGTAATAAACCAATCTCTTTTCAATATCAAATAACATCTATTATTTAAGAAAACAATGCTTGCCCACCCACTAATTCATTAGAGCTCTTACTCTCTTTATTTAGTTGAAGATTCAAACATTTAACTCGGGATATATTCAAACATTTAACTCAGGATATAAGTAAGATGAAGAACGTTGTAATGATATTGAGATATTTTGAGTTAAATCAAAAGCAAATTCAAAGTGGAGGGAGAGTTGGTCAGAGGATAAGAGTAAAATACAACCTTTTGTTCGAGGGAAGAATTGTTGGTGTGAGAGGAAAATAAAATATATATTATAAGGGTGTGGAAATCTCTCCCTAATAGATGCATTTTAAAAATCAAGAGGCTGACAGTGATACATAATGGACTAGAGCGGACAATATCTACTAACAGTGAGATTGAACTGTTACAAATGTATTAGAACCATACATTGGGTGGTATGCCAACGAGGACATTGAACCCTCAAGAAGGATGAGTTGTGAGATCCCACAACACCTAGAGGTGTGCTAGCAAGAATGCTGCTCTCAAGAGAGTGGATTATGAGATCTCACATTGGTTGGAGAAGAGAACGAAACATTTCTTACAAGAGTGAGAAAACCTCTCCTTAATAAACGCATTTTAAAAACCGTGAGACAGAAGATAATACGTAACGGGTCAAAGCAAACAATATCGATGCAATCAAACAATGAAACATTAAGGCATTAGAAGTTATACATATGGAAAGCAAAGTTGTTTGTTATTGGTTTATATGAATGGTTCTTACAAGTTGTAACAAACCCTCGTTTACTTTTCACCCATCCATTTGATGAGTGAAAAACGAGTAAAAACAACCCAAATACAAAGCCCACAACTCACAAATTATTACAAACAAAAATGGATGAATCAATCAATCAAATCAACCACCCCTAACAGTTAAACAAGTAACTTTTGTTAAAGCTTGTCAAAACATCCATATCGTCCTCTTCAAGTTGTGGCGCGGAGCATTGGCGACTGAGGCAATGGCGAGTGCGGCGACATTATGTCCTCAAGCCTTCGTGACGACAGCCTAAGTTCAAGGCTGCTTTGGCGCCAGCAGAACTTCTGTTTCTTAATCTTCGTTGTTACCTCTTTGTTTTGTAGCACAAAGTTTCTAATTCTCGTTATGGATATCTCCATCGTGTTGTCGTCCATGTTCGCAAAGCAAACTCTAAACCATCCCGGCTCCGAGCAATGGAAAGACGACCCCGGCGACACGTTCAGCTTCACGTCGTTGATTATCACTCTCCATAGCGCCATTTCCGCTTCCAATGTCTTCTCTTTCAAAAGATGACGCAAATCCATCCACAAGAACAATCCCCCACTTCCTTTCAAATATCCAATTCCGACCTATATTAAGCATAACAATTAAAAATTAGTTTATTCCAATCTCAATTTATTTTAAAAATTTTAATTAAATTTATCGTAACTCATTCACTAACCTGAGCGAGTCCTCTAGTAAAGTTTCGATGACGTGCAGCAAGTTTCTTAGCGCTCCCAACAAGGAAGCTCTCGACAAATTCATCATCAGACAACATCGACGCAATCAAATGTTGTGTTTGCGACGACACGAGGCCAAAGCTCGACATTTTTCGAGCGCAATTGACGACTGCATCGTTATAAGAGTAGATAATACCAACGCGAAATCCCGGGAATCCCATATCTTTGGAGAGGCTATAAACGACATGGATCAAATTCCTATCACACTTCATGTCATTTTCAATCACTTCGGAGATACTAATGAAGCCAGGCTCAGCAAAGACAGTAGCAGCATAGATTTCGTCGCAAACCAAGTGGATCTTCTTTTGGTTGATGAATGCTACAGCAGTTTCAAGAGTTTGTCTATCGTACACTGTTCCAAGTGGATTTGAAGGGTTTGTAATGAGTAAGCCTTTGATTTTGATGTTGGATTCTTGAGCTTTCTCATAGGCTGTTTCTAAGGCTTCTCTTGTTAATTTGAAGTTGTTTGAGCTATTGCAGATGACTGGAACTATTTCCACTCCGGTTCGCCACCTCAAATCTCTATCGAATCTGCACCCATGTAATGAAT